ATGTTTCTCTCTCATTGATGTTTCTAACTCTCTATCCTTCTCCCTTCCTCTCTGTAAAAAAAAAAATCAATAAAATATATATATATATAAAAGTAATGTTCATTTCTTTAAAAAGAAAAAGAAAGACAGATTACAGAGAAATGGGAGGCACACAGCAGGGACTGGATTACAGGACAGTTAAGATGATGTGCTCTCTTGAGGGTGGTTATGGCAAAGGTGTGTTAACCTAGATGCACAGAAAAAATGAACAGGGCTTGCTTAAGGCAAAGATAAAGCTTTTGCTAAAGAAGTTGTATGCCTGAGGCATGACTGCCCACATGATCTGCTCAGTTAGGAATTTATGATCAGATCACCTCCTGAGGTTACTTTCAAACAACCCCCTTTTTCTGTCCACAAATCTATTCATGTATTCACACTGCAAAGTGGGCTAAACAGTTTCAAAATGAAAATCAGAATATGACTGTGTGTTTCTTTCAGTTTATTACTTTCCTGGTACTTTCTATTTAGCACACTGATCTAACATTGATTGGCGTATTAAATATAAATTTAATAGTTCATAAGCCTTACTACTTAATATTTTCTTGTATCAGTGAACAAGGTTCCTTTTCTTCAGGGACATTAGATTTTTCTCCCAGTACATGCCTCAATATTAATTTCCCATCCTCTTTCTGTATGCCTTCCCTAAAATGGAGACTACAGAGATTGGAAATATTTTTTCGAGATCCTGCTGGAATGCTTTGAACTATTTGCTTATTTCTTAGAAATAGTGTCTAGAATTCTACAATAAGCAGCCCAAAATTTCTAATTCAAGCTTGTAGTGCTTGTCTTTGTATAATGACATCTCTAGGTTCTGTGCTAAAGTGAGTCTTAGACATGGCGATCCTTGTTCTGCCCACTTTAGTTTGTGGGCTGTGCTTGACAGTTTCATCTATACTTCTAGCTTTTCTTATAAAATTCAATGAAACATAAGGTTAAGCAGCAAAAATAAATAATATGCAAATTTTGAACCTGAATTATAAACTCAATCCTCAAAAAATGAATGCAAATATCTAGCATTAAATGCATACGAAATTTTAATCTCATTTTATTCTTACTATTTACAATTAAATTTAAAAAATTTTAAATAATGGAGAGGGCTGGCCAGGTAGCTCAGTTGGTTAGAGCATCGTTCTGATACACCAAGGTTGCAGGTTCAATTCCCAGTTTGGGCACATATAAGTATCAATGAGTGAATAAATAAGTGAAACAGCAAATCAGTGTTTGTTTTTCTCTCTCAAATCAATCAATTAAAAAAAATTTTTTTAACAATGGAGAGTAACAAAACATGTAAATAAATGTAATACCCCAAGTTATGTGACTTTTTAGTTTTCTAAGGCAATGGTCTCCAATATCTGGTGTTTGTCCTTCAGGACTATGCAAGACAACTTCTTCCCAGTGGGGCATGGGAGGAAGAAGAAGAAGAAGAAGGAGAAGGAGAAGGAGAAGGAGAAGGAGAAGGAGAAGGAGAAGGAGAAGGAGAAGGAGAAGGAGAAGGAGGAGAAGGAAAAAAAGAAGAAGGGGAGGAGGAGGAGGAGGAAGAGGAAGAGTAAGGGGAGGAGGAGGAGGAGGAAGAAGAATAAGAGGAGGAGGAGGAGGAGGAGGAGGAGGAGGAGGAGGAGGAGGGGAAGAAGAAGAAGAAGAAGAGGAAACAGAGAAAGAGAAAGCAGGAAACCAGGACTGGGCAATGCACCTGCACCCAAAAGTTCCCTACCAGGTGGAGATTCTGCTCCCCATTCACAGATGGGAAAATGAGGCTCAGAAGGGCTGGGATTGGCCCAAAGTTACGCAAACAAGAAGAGCAAGGCTGGGAGCTGAACCAGAGAAATTGCTACTGCTTCTGGGTGTGTGCCTGTTTTGGGGTGTATCGGCAGATAAAGTGTTCGAGGTGTGTGGGCAAGGTGATAGAACTGGCATGGAGGGACCTAGAGAGGCCCATTGGGAACAGTAAAATGACTGTTTACAGACAAAACAAAAACAAAGATTCCACACAAATGCACATTATTAATTCTTTAGAGTGGCAATTAAATAGTTCAAATGTTCATTTCTTTTATTTTCATAATATCCCTTTCTTCCCCTTTTCTTTTTCATAAAAATGTTATGACACACACAGCAACAATGACAAAGAAATCCAACCTATGCTTCCTCTGAACTGTAAGTTTCCAAAATTTCACAATTATGGTTGATTATGTATTTTACTAACTAGTTGTCTCTTTAGATTTCGTGTACCCCATAACTGCCAGTTTTAAATACCAATTCTAAACAAAGGTGACTTGACAAATTCATTTTACTCTCAAGGCCAGTTTTTCTTCAAGTTAGGTGCTGAATTATTTTAGGATCTTTCATTGTCTAAATAAATTTTATTGCAGTGACCAAAAAAAGATAGGAAATCTTAGAATAAGGAATGCAAAAAAGTAAGAAAACTTAAAAGTTACAATGAATACTTCAAAGATAATAAAAAAGAGAAATAGCTGCTGAAACCGATTTGGCCTAATGGTAGAGTGTTGATCTGCAGCCTAAAAGGTCCCAGGTTCGATTCCGGTCAGGGGCATGCACGTTGGTTGTGGGCACATCCCCAGAAGGGGGTGTGCAAGAGGCAGCTGGTCGATGTTTCTCTCTCATCGACATTTCTAGCTCTCTATCTCTTTCCCTTCCTCTCTGTAAAAAATCAATAAAAATATATTTAAAAAAAGAAATAGCAATTTTAGCTTGTTGAAAACAGAAGATCAACAATGATAACTACAATTTATTAAATGTTTCCTATGTGGCAGGCATTGTGTTAAACTTTTTACATAAACAACCTCATTTTATTCTTCACAAAAATCCATCTGATGTAAAAAGCAATATTTCCTATTCCAGGATCACTCAGCCAACAAGTCACAGTGCTAGGAACAGAATCTACATATTCCTACTTGTCTCTAAAGCTTATCTCCTGACCACCATACATACTCCCTTCTATGCAGCATGTATTGGAGACAAGTTTGGTAATGTAATTGCTCTGACTGACATGGAAGGTAGTGAATAAGAGCTTACCACTTTACAAATAAAAATGTAAACAAGAGCCCTAACCAGTTTGGCTCAGTGGATAGAGCGTGAGCCTGCGGACTAAAAGGTCCCGGGTTCAATTCCGGTCAAGGGCATTTACTTGGTTGCGGGCACATCCCCAGTAGGAGGTGTGCAGGAGGCAGCTGATCCACGTTTCTCTCCCATCAATGTTTCTAACTCTCTATTCCACTCCCTTCCTCTCTGTAAAAAAATCAATAATATATATATATATATATATATATATATATATATATATATATATATATATAAATGTAAACAGGGAAGAAAATTGGGGAGGTAATGGACAAAAGTCTCTACACGAGTTCCCAAATCTAGCATTTGTCTGGCATCTTGGGCAACAATATCTGCTTCAAAGTAAAATAATGAGTCTGTGAGGAGGCGATAAAGCCATGAAAACAAGCTATTGGTGCACCCCTATGTTCATAGCAGCACAATTTGCAATAGCTAGGATTTGGAAACAGCCTAGGTGCCCATCAGCAGATGATTGGATAAAAAAACTATGGTATATCTATACAATGAAATACTATGCTGCCATAAAAAAGAAGGAATTCTCATCATTTGCAGCAACCTGGATGGAATTGGAGAACATCATCCTGAGTGAAATAAGCCAGTCAATGACCTCACACATTTATGGATAATAAAGAACATTATAAACTGATGAATCAAAAGATAGATATAGAGACAGTAAAGCAACAAGCAGACTGTCAAATTACAACGGAGAGGGGAGGGAGATCTGGGGAAGATAAGAGATCAACCGAAGGACTTGTATACATGCATATAAAGTACAACCAATGGACACAAAACTCTGGGGAGGGAGGGCATGGATGGGAGGGGGGGCAATGGTAAAATATATACACAGATAATAATTTAATAATAATAAAAAAAGCTGTTGGTGCTGTTGTGCAGCCATTGGTCAGGAAAATGTATGAATCATTTGCATAAGTCATAAAAGTCACATTATGTATTGTTGCAATACCTGACTTTCTTGATAAATTCTAATAATAGGGCTGATCTTTGAACTCTAATATTGCTGAGTAACTTTCTATAGCCATGTCTTAGGGATGATTTCAAAGTTTAAGAATTTGAAAACATGAGTGCATACAGAGTATCTGAAATGTTTGGGTGTGTGAGCAACAAATGGAACACACTGGACATGCCAGGCCACTTTAGTATTGGGAGGGCACTGTCCTAGTTACCATCTTCTTTTCTACCCAGGTGGCATTTCTTCCCTGTTTTCTTGCGAGCACTCCATTTACTGTGGTTCCGATGGGGCTAATTCCATACTTCCTCTCCACCATACATACACTTCCACATATACCACCACCATCACCTTGGGAGTAAACGGATGGTGGCAGAGTATCTAGCTAGGTCTCTGCCACCATTTGAAGAAAGTCTGTGAGACAATAAAGCCAACAACAGGGAGAAGAAAATGCTGAGTGGGCATGTGGCAGCATTCCAGTGACCTCATGTGAAACTGAGTCTCTGCTGTAGGTGAAGCTGAAACAGTCTTGCATTTCCCAGTCACACCGCCAACAGAAGCCCTTTGTGTTTAAGCTAGTTTAAGCTGGGCTTCTCCCACTTGCAAACAAAAGAAAGCCTTGACTGTAGATCCACTATCAATGTGTACTGTGAATACGGTAATACCAAGATATCACTAACATCGCAGGTCTTTGCACATTGGGAGTCTGTAAGCTCTGGCAAATGTGTCACAGCCTTTGTGTAGGTACAATGAAGCACAACCCTGTCACAATGGCCCTAGTTTTTAAATTGTTGCTTTCGTTTCTACTATTTTGAAATGTATCATGCATGCAAAAGGCTATGAAATGCATCTGCACAACCTAGAGAACTGGAACATCCAGATATCAGCCCCCACTTAGAAACAGAAGGTTGTAGTGTGCTGGCTTTGGCAGCCCATATACTAAAACTGAAACGATATAAAGAAGATTTTCCCAAGCATGGTCCCTGGGCAAAGATGACACACAAATTCGTGAAGTGTTCCATATTTTAAAAAGTTAGAAAAAAAAATCATAGGTTCTTTGGAAGCCCACTTTGTGCTCTTTCCACATGACCTGAGAGGTAACCACTACATAGTCTTTGGGTAACCACTACTCACAGGGTGGAGAAAAGGTCGGTTTGCATTCACATAAGGTGGGGCAAAGTTGCTAGCATTTTTAATGCATTGTTGGATTTTTTTATTTTTCTCTTGCACTGTATTTTTTTTTATTTTATTTTATTATTATTTTTTTCTTAGTTTTCTCTTGCATTGTTGGATTTGATTTACTAATGTTTCAGTTAGAATATCCATGTCTCATTTCATGAATGAAAGTAGCCAGTAATTTTCCTTTTCTGTACTTTCCTTTTCTGGTTTTGGTTCTCAAGGTCACATTCGTCTGATTAAATATTACTCTATGGAATGTTACATCTAGAAACTATATCAGCTCTTGAGTCACCCAAATAATAGAATAGGAAATTAAGTTATACTACATTGCTCCAAGCATGCATTCAATCCACTTCCATTGATATACTTAAAAACTGTGCAGGCTGTCATTTATCTACAGAAGAGGAATACATAAGTTTGTAGATAAAAATGTTATTCCTCTGTAAATGGGCATTTCTGAATTATCTCATAAGTAAACAAGTTAAAGAGGCAGATATTTTCAAAGTAAATGCTTTGACGTACACTATCATTCTTATCGGCCCGGTGCACAAAATTCGTGCACAGAGGAGGGGGGGTTCCCTCAGCTAAGTCTGCACCCTCTCCAATCGGGGATCTCTTGGGGGATGTCTGACTGCCAGTTTAGGCCTGATCCCACAGTCGGACATCCTCTTGCAATCTGGGACCAATGGCTCCTAACTGCTCACCTGCCTGCCTGCCTGATCACCCCTAACTGCCCTCCCCTGCCAACCTGATCTTGCCCCCAATGGCACTCCCCTGCTGGCCTGATCTCGCCCCCAACTGCCCTCTTCTGCAAGCCAATTTGGTTCTGATTGGTCAGTTTCTATGCCAGTGTCAAAAGCTCTGCCTCCTAGAAAAACATTGGCTCCCCACAGCACCCAAATTTGGATCTGATTGGTCGGTTCCTATGCCAGTCAGCATCTATGGGCCTATCTCTGGGCCTGATTAAAGAGGCGGGGTTGAACAGCAGTTCCAGCTGAGACCGGGAGAGAGAAAAAAAGCCCAGCTGCTGGTCAAGCTCAGAAAGAAACAGGGAGAGAGAGAGAGAGAGAGGTAAGTACTAATCAACAGCTGCCACTGAGGCTGCGGATCAGACCCTGCCTCTCTCTCTGAGTCTCAACCATCTGGGCAGTCAGTGCTGGGTTGGTCAGTTTTTGGTTGTGATTTGTCATTACAGCCCTGGCCTTTTATATATTAGAATATTTTATTTATTAATTATATTAATCTTCTTGCACTCCTACATAGAACATTTTTTTCTGGCTGTGTACTGGACAGAACAGTGTAGTAAAAGGAAAACAGTAGTCCACCACTACCCAGCAGACTTAATTCTCATTCCAGCTCTGCTACTTTCTAAGTTGCCTCAACTATAAAATGGACATAATATTCATTACAGTTCTTTTATTAAGGATAAAATGATGCATATAAAAGTCAATTTATATAAATGTACTACTTGAACTATGATGTATCATTGTTCTTTTTATACTCTGGTATTCTTGATAACTCAAAATATAAGAATATGTACCGTATTTTTCGGACCATAAGACACACTTTTTTCCCCCCAGAAGTGGGGGGAAAAAGTCCCTGCGTCTTATGGTCCAAATATAGCCTACACATATACTTTTTAAAAAAAGTTTTTTTATTTGCCCGGCTCTGTGTGGTCTCTGTGTGCTTGCCCGGCTCTAAAATGGTTCTAAATGCTGCTGTTTACTTTACAGGGCTGATTACATGTGTTTATGACTGTGATGTTGGGTTTTAATGCACATAAAATATTTTAGGACACTATTTGTTTCAGAATCTTTTTTTCTTCATTTCCCTTCTCTAAAAACTGGTGCGTCTTATGGTCTGGAGCGTCTTATGGTCCGAAAAATACGGTAATTTAACTTCTTTTTCTATTAAATATATTTTTGGATGAAAATGTACCTACTTTTGAAAATCTAGAGTGGCTAAAATTAGTTGTAGAGTTAATGTAAAAAGATAGAAAAGTGGAATTTTTGCAGCCAAAAGATTGTTTGTTCTCCTCAGACAGTAAGTGAAAATGGTAAGGATTTATAGCACTCATAATTTAGACATTAAACTAAATAATCTTGTTTACCAAGCAATCAAAACCATATGAAAAACAAGGTGGGGGGGGCAATACAGACCTGCTTTTGAAGTGATATCCCATTTCTGATCTACACACAAACTTGGTTGTGATGTCAAAAAATTTTCAGCCTCATTGGTGGGGCTCAGTGGTTGAGCATCAACCTATGAACCAGGAGATTGAGAATCTATTCCTGTCAGGGCACATGCCCCAGTTGTGGACTTGATCCCCACTGGGGGTTGGGGGGAGGGGGATTCCGAAAGGAGGGTATGCAGGAAGCAGCTGATGTTTCTGTCTCATCTTTGATGTTTCTTTCTCTCTCTCTTCCTCTCTCTGAAACCAATACAAACATATTTTAAAAACAATTTTTAAAAATATGGTAAGGAATATTTTATTCAAGAGGAACTACTTAGATGGATGTTTTGCTGTAGGAGTGAGAATATGAATACAACAAGGAGGAGTGGGGATTTATAGCCAAGTTGGAGAGCAGAGGTCAGTGAATGGAAAAATTACTTAGAGAAATTCTTGCTAATTCAACAAGCCAAGGATGGGTACAGTTTTTTTGTTTGTTTGTTTTTGTTTTGCTTACTTATTGTTATATAATGTCTGGTCATCAGAATGTACAACTGTAACAAATATAATGACAATGTTATGTCAACTATAATTGAAAAATTTTAAATGATTAAAAAAATATATCAAGGATGCAGGATGATGAATTTGATCTATGGAAGATGATCGGATATCAAGACTCAGCAGGATTCTAGCTAAAACTGGACTAAGCAGTAGAGGACAGACCCCAAACATGGGACCTAGTGGAGAAGGGGGTTCAAGGAGTCCGACTCGGGTTTGGTCAAGGAGAAAGTCTGTCTGAGGCTGTAATTTCTGTCTATTGACTTGATGGTTTAAACATCAGCTTCTCCTGTAGAAGATTTTTATGGGTTTACTCGAGCCAAACTGACAATTACCAGGAAGCAAAATCTCAAACAGATTGAGAAAATGCTCCAGAGAATGGCAGTTTTACAGTTTATTTTATACATTACAATCAAAGGAGGAGATGTGTGGAGAGGGGGAGAGGGGAGGTGGGCATAAAATTCATTGGAGGTAGGTTAGGGAGGCTAGGAAGCAAAGGAAGAATGTATCTCCGAGTTTGAAAAAAGCAAGCATGTCAAACTCGCTGCCCTCTGCCCACATGCAGCCCACAATGAATATTTTTGCGGCCATGTCAGTATAACAGTCTGTAAGAAATGTTTTTTTGTTTGTTTTTTGAAATTTTTAAAAATATTTTTTATTGATATTTTTTTTTTTTTTTTTTTTTACATAGAGGAAGAGAGAGGGATAGAGAGTTAGAAACATCGATGAGAATCATCGGTCAGCTGCCTCTTGCACACCCCCTGCTGGGGATGTGCCCGCAACCAAGGTACATGCCCTTGACAGGAATCGAACCTGGGACCTTTCAGTTCGCAGGCCGATGCTCTATCCACTGAGCCAAACCGGTTTCGGCTGTAAGAAATGTTTTAATAAAAATTTCGTAACTTAATTTTTACAATATCCTGCTATACATAATTATTAATAACGAATTACAACGTTGGCTAATTACTGATTACTATAATCGTGTTGCATTCATTTCCCTTATGCACCTTACGTGCAGGCGCACCATTTCTCTCCACTAATACCAGCAGCGAATATTTTATTTTAGTTTATTTTTTTATTTTTTTAATATATATTTTATTGATTTTTCACAGAGAGGAAGAGAGAGTGATAGAAAGCTAGAAACATCAGTGAGAGAGAATCATTGATCAGCTGCCTCTTGCACACCCCCCACTGGGGATGTGCCCACAACCAAGGTACATACCCTTGACCAGAATCGAACCTGGGACCTTTCAATCCACAGGCTGACGCTCTATCCACTGAGCCAAACCGGTCCGGCAGCAGCGAATATTTTAGCAGCCAATGGCCGTGTCATTAATCTTGTACTGACTTGTTTGGTGTGAGCAACAGGAAATATTTCACTTTTGGAGAAAAATAGGTTTATTTGCATTATGCTTATTAATTTGTGCAGTTATTCGGTGTCTGGTAAGTTAATGTTCAAGAAAAAATGATTTTTATTAAAATGTCTATTATTTTATGTTAACGATTATTCATTTATCTCAGCCCTTTGTATTCAGCATGTCTCTATGGAAATAAACCTACGTTTCTATGAAAATTGAAACTTTTGTTTTTTTGTGCCAACATAAACTTAAACCTTGTTTATTTGGCCCGTGTTAGCCTTTGAGTTTGGACATGTTTGGAATAAAGAGTAAAATGCAGAGACGCGTGCTTCTTCTACATTGGTGGTATAGGGTAATCAACAATGAACATTTTCAGAACATAGAAACGGTACACAGGCAACGAGATAACAGTGAAGGGCTTGACCTCTGAGTCTAGTGCTCTATGAGGAGGTGGTGCCCTGAGGTGTCTGGAAAAGGAGACTACTCTGGCATTCCAAAGGTATGTTATCTTCAATGCAAAAATACATAGACAGGATCAATTTAGGTAAAGATTAACCTTTGTCACGGAAGATAGTGGCCTAGAGTCTGACTACCCGCCAGGACTCGCTTTTAGTTAGAAGTTTTAAGTTCAGACCATCCCAAGTGGTTGCTTTAGGTCTCTTTCTATAAGGCTGCCATGCAGGCCTCCCCTGAGCTTGTCAAGTTTAGTATGTCGCCCCTTTTTTGGTTTATACCAGCCTCACATTGAGAAAAATCCAAAGTT